ATATATATATATATATATATATATATATATATATATATATATATATATATATATATAATTTAGTTGTCTTCTTTGGGCGAGACGAAGAGAGAGACGTTTGTGTTTTGTTTGCTTTTCTTTCTTTTTATTATTTATTTATTTATTTATAAACTTTTTATTATTTATTTATTTATTTATTTATTTACTTTTTATTATTTATTTATTTGTATACTTTTTATTATTTATTTATTTATTTATTTATTTATTTATTTATTTATTAGCTGCGTAAACCCTAAACCCTAAACCCTAAACCCTGAGACGAGTGAAGCTAAAGAAGGGGGAGATGAGATAGGCAGGAGCTGGCAGCAGCAGCGGTCGCTATTGCTGTCGCTGCTGCTGCTGCTGCTGCTGCTGCTGCTGCTGCTGCTGTTGCTGCTGTTGCTGCTACTGCTGCTACTGCTACTACTGCTGCTGCTGCAGCTGGGGTTGCTGCTGTTGCTGCTGTTGCTGCTGCTGCTGTTGCTGTGCATTATATATGCGCATAGAGTTTAAACAGGATGAAACTGTTTCCTTCTTTCTTGCTGCTGCTGCTGCTGCTGCTGCTGCTGCTGCTGTTGCTGCGGCAGCAACAGCAACAGCAGCCACTTCCTGCTGCTGCTGCTGCTGCTGCAGCGGCTGCTGCTCGAGCAGCGCCTGCAGCAGCAGCAGCATTTGCTGCAGCAGCAGTCCCCACTGCATGCGGAGACAGACAAAGGGCTATTGAAGCTGCTTCACTTGCTGCTGGGTGCTGAGGCTGTTCTTTAGTTGAGATGTTTGGGTGCGGAGTGGTAGAGAGACTTCAGCACGAACCTGCAGCAGCAGCAGCAGCAGCAACAGCAGCAGCAACAGCAGCAGCAGCAGCAGCAGCAGCAGCAAAGGCCACAAAAACAACTCCCGTGCAGAAACGAATAGCATAGCAGCAAGTGCAGCAGCAACTGAAGCAGCAGCAACTGAAGCAGCAGCAACTGCAGCAGCAGCAACTGCAGCAGCAGCAGCAACAGCAGCAGCAACTGCAGCAGCAGCAGCAACAGCAGCAGCAACAGCAGCAGCAACAGCAGCAGAACAGCACGTACGCCTCAGCAAGGAGTGTCTCGATCTCCTGATACCCCCAACTTGTCGTCGGGAAATTCTGAATAAACAAAATCATCTGCAGCAGCAGCAGCAGCAGCAGCAGCAACAGCAGCAGCAGCAGCAGCAGCAGCAACAGCAGCAGCAACAGCAACATGAAGGAGAAATACAAATCCTGTGCAGCAACAAGCACCAAAAGAGCTAGCAGCAGCAGCGGCGGCAGCAGCAGTAGCAGCAGTAAAAGTAGCAGCAGCAGCAGCAGCAGCAGCAGCAGTAAGAGTAGCAGCAGCAGCAGCAGCAGCAGCAGTTCATGCATACCTGCTGGAAATCCATCTGCTTGAGCTGCCTCGACCAGTTAACCAGAAAAACTGAACATAAATAAAAACCGCAGCAGCAGCAGCAGCAGCAGCAGCAGCATCAGCAGCAGCAACAGCAGCAGCATCAGCAGCAGCAGCGTCAGCAGCAGCAGCAGCAGCAGCAGCAACAGCACGGCGGCTTGCAATGCAGGTTAATCGTTCTGCTTTCTCCACCTGCTGCAGCAACTCCTTCACGCCAAGCAGCAGCAGCAGCATCAGTAGCAGCAGCAGCAGCAGCAACAGCACCACCAACAGCAGCAGCAGCAGCAGCAGCAGCAGCAGCAGCAGCACCTGCGCAGACGTAGACGTGAAAGTCAGAGAAGCCCTCCGCCTGCTCCGCTATGTATGTATCCCACAGCCGAATCACGCAGCTCAACGGGAACTCCCTGCAGCAGCAGCAGCAGCAGCAGCAGCAGCAGCAAGAGCAGCAGATGTGTTAGCAGCAGCAGCAGCAGCAGCAGCAAGAGCAGCAGATGTGTTGGCAGCAGCAGCAGCAGCAGCAGCAGCAAGAGCAGCAGCAGTAGCAAGAGCAGCAGATGTGTTTGCAGCAGCAGCAGCAGCAGCAGCAGGATTTATTTGAGTGCAATCT